TATCTGTCATTTGGGTAGAGATGAAACAGTTTTGACTATGAGTTGATTAAATTTACAGAGAGAGAAAGAGAAAAAAAGATCAAGGCTATATAAGCATGTATTGCTGTTAACTTTATGTAAATGAAATCAAAATATGGATTATAGATTTTTTTAACAAATATGCACTATCCCTTATATTATTATCTATACTTTTTTGGTTTTCCTGAAATATTCCATATTTTTCAAAACTTTTCTTATTACTTTGATTATAAACATCTTAGTACGTTTTCCATTGTCAGTACTATATTCTATAAGCTATACACTTCCAGAAAGCATTGACTGTTCTTCTGGATGATCTTTCAGCCTAATCAATAAACTTAGGGACTTTTTTGAGATCCTACAGAAAACGTAAATTATTCCTTTGGAGTCTTATTCCAGTGTCATTATTTTTGAGGAGTCACTTTTTTCTTACTATGCAACTTTGCTAGGTGAAAAAAAAAATGGCATAACATCACCATAGAATCTGCCTAAACACTAACACAAACTTAATACTAATATAATTTAGTTTCATCCATACTGAGAGTGAACAGATGTATATATTCTTTAAACTATGTACTCCTTGAGAACAAAATCCGTGGTTTTTTTAAAGTAGGAAATAATGAGTACTAATAAATATTTGACTAAGAATAGAATGTCCAGGACTCCATTTTTGGAATTCCTGTGCTGACCTGTAAACCATCGTCATATACTTGGCAAAGAAGTCTAGATGTATTATTTTACAAAGCATGGATTGTTGGTAATTTAAAATAAAGCCCCTCACTCACTTCATCCCAGTTGTGATGGCCTTTGTATTATTCTTGAAAATCTGGAGCACTTTCCTCTTACAGTTCCCTCTGGAAATCTCTCCTAAGATGTTTGCATGAACTCCTTCCCTGCTTTTTCTTGTAACTTTCCTGGAGACCTTCTCCAACCACCCCAACTAAATTTGATCCCTCTCCTGCCCCGTTTAACTGTCTATCTCTTTACCCATCTCTTCCTACCTCCTCCCCAAGTGCTTATCATTACCTGGTGTATATTGGTTTGCTGTCTGTTCCCCACACACGACTATAACTTCATAAAGACAGGGAATTTTTTTTTCACCCCTGAATAACCTAGGCCTTGGCACACGGTAGGTCACAACTGAATATTTATTGAATCAATGAATGGACAAAGAGTTGAAAATGAACATACGGTTGAAGAGAGTCTAACTTTTAGCTAGAACAATGAACTTCAGTCATATCTTCAGCAACTTCCATGGGACACTCATGGAATTTAATTACATGTATTAAATATATTAAATCTTCAAAGCACAGTATAAATAAGTCTTTTAATACCTCCATGAAACAGATGCTAATACTCCATTTTATAGATGGCAAAATGAAAGCACAAAAACGAAATCCCTAAAGATCAATGAGTGAGTCAATGTCAGAGCTAGATTTAGAGAATTTTGAATATTTAGTCTCAAGCAACTGACTCCCGAAAGTCATTTGTCTATATCTTGTGCTTGTTACAGCTCATTTAAAAGCGTTTACTATTCCTGAATTTGAAAGCCTCTCAGGTAAGAAATTGGCTTGTTGTGACAGTAGGTGGTGACTCAGTTACTGTAAATGTTCTTTCAAGAACTCGTTCTCCATCTATATCCAGCACTTCACAAAGTAAGTTGCTGTCTTGGCAGAAATATATGGTCTGTAAGTAAGTTACCAATTAGTTTCATTATGCGTGTGCCTCATTTAATTTTAAAATGGATTCCTCCACCCAAATCGATTGCAAAAGCAGGGGAAACCCTTTATGCAGTGTCTGTAAAAGATTTTCTCAAAGTCTAATTGTACTTTTGATTCTTCAGACATTGCTGGAAATTATATGATCCCAAAATTCAGTACACCAGAAGGGTCACACAACCCCGTTTTCTTCGAGAAGTCTCTTTTTATATAAGGACAGTGGTTCTCAAACTGGGCTACATTTAAGAATCACCTGGAACATTTATCTATACTGATGCTAGAATCGCACCCCCAGGAATACTGATTAATTTGGTCTGGGGTGTGACCTGGACATGGTGATTTTTTTAAAGAAGCTTCTCAAGTGCAGCCAAGATGGAAACTTTTGTAGCAAAGTGTCAGTGCATGGATCTTCTGACACGACCTGAGAATGAAATCCGAGGAGAAAAACGAGAGGACCATGGATATAATGATTTTTAGATTTCTCTGTAATTCCAGATAATGTACACTATTTCAATATTGTTAATATCTTATGGTATTCTTCACCCTGGGGTTATTTTTCAGAAGGATCTAGCTTTACGTATCTAAGATTTAAGTGAAATTGGTCTAAGATGAAAAGGATGTCAAGGTGACAACAACTGGGATAAAGTGTATGAAACATTCCTTAAAATGTAACAAGCTATAAAAATGTGAGATACAATTATTATTCATCAAAATTTTGACATGCTACATGAGCCATACAGGACCAAAGTGGTCATTTATATGATATAAACTGCCTCCAAAATAATTTTTAGTGATAAACAAAATTCACTCAAAATGTGTCTACTTTTATTTTGGAGACATCGTGTCTTCATCATCAATCACTCTCACTTGCAGAAAAAAATGGATTTAGTTTTTCATGCCTGAAAGTTTTACCCATTCTAATACCTACAGCTTAAAGTAAAACAGAACCCTATTGTAACACACTAATTGCGGCTGACAATTCAGATCCCTCTATAACAAAACCATTATGAAGAGTTACACCCATATATGGTCTTCGTTTGTTTTCTATCGTGTTCTCCCACTTGGTACTTATTTGGTTTGCTTGCTTATTTAATTGTGAGTGTTAACAAAGACAACATAGAAAAATACAAATGAGGAAAAAATTACTGAAAAAGAAATGCTTTTTCAGAAATCATTGAGAAAAAGCACATGACCTCAGCTCTTTAAGAGCAGGACTAGAAATTCTGCCTCCATCAGTGGCTCATCCTTGGCATCTCGTTTGGTGCTTCCAGAACCCCGTTCTCCTGGGTCCCTCCCTCCCTTCACTGGCTGTGGGTCTTGGGTTTCTTGTCACTTGATGACTTAACCTCTTTGAAAGAGTTCTTTTCCCCTGCTTTGCTCCAGGCTGTTGGGTTTGCTTTTTGGGAAGGTTCTCTGAAGCAACAAGGCTGGTGTCATTCAGCACTCCTTTGTAAACGCTCCCTTAATTCCTCCGGTTGAGTCTGGCTCATTGGGTGTTGCCCATAAAAAACAGTGACTTTTGTAATCACAATTAGAGCTGGGTGGTGTGACTAATCAGTCAGTTCACTGCATCTCTGTTATCTTTAGCGAAGTGAGTCTGTTTCAACGTGAGCTTTATGTTCAGATGTCACTCCCTACCTGATGTTCAAATCGATATTTGTTCCAGACTCCAGATGTTAAAAAAAAAAGAGGGGGCTATTTGTTTTCTTTCTAAAAACGTGTTCTATATGCCTTGTCAGGAGTGGAACTAAGTGCACAGGAATTTGGAGACATTCCATATGCTAGCTCACTATCCAGAATTCACAGGGCAGGGAAGCCATATTTGAGGAAGATTAGCCCTGAGCTAACATCTGCTACCAATCCTCCTCTTTTTGCTGAGGAAGACTGGCCCTGAGCTAACATCCGTGCCCATCTTCCTCTACTTTATAGGAGGGATGCCTACCACAGCGTGGCTTGTCAAGCGGTGCCATGTCTGCACCCGGGATCCGAACCAGCAAACCCCGGCCCACCAAAGTGGAACATGTGCACTTGACCACTGTGCCACAGGGCCGGCCCTGTTCAGCCATTTACATCAGTTTGAATTTGAGAATTTTTTTTTAATACTTTGGTTTATAATCCAATAAATCCTTCTTTATTTCTTTTCTTGCTCAAGTTTTCCAGCTTTGGCCACCAGTAGCTCTTGCAATTGTTTCCTTGTCCCTTTGACATACGCCTTCATTATGGGCTTTTTTTTTCTTTTGAGCGCTTCCTTGATTTCTGGCTCTACAAGATGCTCCAGGTTCATCGCATATGTTTCCTGCCCCACTTCTAGAATCAGTCATATCTCTAAGGAGCCCTGGTTCCTTTTGTCGGAGAATGGTAGTAGAAATCAAGATCTACGGGCCGGTCCGGTGGGGCAGCAGTTAAAGTTAGCACATTCCGCTTCTCAGCAGCCCAGGGTTCGCCAGTTCGGATCCCGGGTGCAGACATGGCACTGCCTGGCAAAAGTCATGCTGTGGCAGGTGTCCCACACATAAAGTAGAGGAAGATGGGCATGGATGTTAGCTCAGGGCCAGTCTTCCTCAGCAAAAAGAGGAGGATTGGTAGCAGATGTTAGCTCAGGGCTAATCTTCCTCAAAAAAATAAATAAATAAATCAAGATCTGGGTGACAAATATGCTCATTGTTACTCTGGGGTGCCTTTGCTTCTCAGCTGAAAGAGAAAGAAACTATATGTGCGTATACTAAGCCATGTATCTACATATATCCATAAATATTTCTATATGTAACCATTTGTATCTATGTTAAGCAAAACAGGAGTTCATACAGATGTCTCTAACTCTAATTCATTACCACATTGATCATTCCAACCACCTTCTCTTGCTTCAACTGTGAGAAGCCTGGCTCCGACCATCCACCACCCCTTTCCTTAATTGTTCAGTTCCAGTATACACGTATAGCAGTATCTGAACGTTTGCTAACCTGTACCCCTGTGGGAGGCAACCTTATCAACTAGGGTTTTCTAGAAAGTCTGGAAGACATTATTCTGGATGGCCATGAGCCTGATATCATGCAACAGCTCTGGTGCTGAGCAGGAAGGGGCAAATTGATAAGGGAAGACGGTTAACGGTCTCTACCATGGAATGCATTTCAGTGGCAGCTCAGGGAAGAGAAAAATACAGTGGTTTATTTTGAATTTTAGCTGAATTTCTATGAAAAGGTAGGTTGTTTTCTTCCTCAGACTGCAACTTTTTGACACAACGCTCGTTTCCTTATTTTGCCGTAGCACGAGTCCCATCTTCTTTCAGCCTCCAAAGCCGTCAGTCGTCCTGGACAGAAGTCAGAGGAGCAACCTTATTGGGTACATCATAAACTGTGAGGTGAGAGGGCACAGCAGGGTAATGAGGTGGTGAGGGATGGATGGATGGAAGCATCCGCTAGTTATTGAGCAGCTGAAGGTGGCACAGATTGTAAACAGGCGCTGCCTGATCCAAGACATCAATACAAGGGAAAAGAAACATGGGCGATGGGATGGGCTTTTACAGTTGACTATTAATGAGGCCCCCCCACAACTTGGACGAGTCTGTGCCCCATCACTAATCTGTTACCAAAGTAGCTGTCAATGCGCCATTTTCATCCAATGGCGGTTGGCAATTCTCAAAACAAACCATTCCACACCCACTCTCCAAACCTGATCTGATAGCCAAGAAGCGTTATGCCAATATATGGGAAACGGCGAGCAACTCTACACCGGGAAATCTAAACTTCTCCCTATCAGATGAGGCGACTCAGAGTTTAAGATTCTTCAAGAGAGGAAATGACATGATAGAAGGAAAGGGGCTTTGGAGACCCTCTCCTCTGGGTTTGAATCCCAGCTCTGCCACTTAACAGCTGTGCAACCCTGAGCAAATTTTTGCTGTTGTTTGTGTTAAATTGATATTAAAATACCAAATTATTAAATATAATTTATCCAAATAGCCAAACGATATATTTTATTAATATTTAAAGTGATATGTGACAAAACCCACAGAATTTTATAGCACAAAGAATGAACCTAATGTATGTAAATTTACGAACCATTTAGGAGGTCAAGGGAATTCCAGGATGGAATGCAGAATGTGACAAAACTATCTGTACTACAATGTATGAAATAACTTCGCTGCGAGGTGATGGGCCAAAATGTTAACCTAAGTGACTTTGGAAATGAGTGGAATCTGTTAGACTGCAGGCAAAAGAAACTGTATGTCAACACTACACTCTACTTGGAAGTGGAACGTGGAATTTCCAGTAAGTGTCCTTAAGGGAGGGGTGGGCCTTTCTCTTCATTCTTCTTCTTTCCTGCTGAATAGAATAGGACATGACGTCCAGGTGGAACACCCGTCTTGGACCACAACCAGGTGGCAGACAAGGGTTGAGAATGATAGAAACAAAAAATAGAAGAAGCCTATGTTCCTCTCCCAATTGTGGAGCCACCATACCAGCTAATTTACATGGAATGAAAAAGAAACTTCAATCTTGTTTACCTTGCTCTTATTTTGAATTTCCTTTCACAGATTAATCCCAACTACATAGATTTTCCTTGTATCTTTTACTCCCTGCCTTTTATCCCTCCACCTCAGTCCCTCAGAAAATGAGGGTACATAACTTTTCATAGTATAACTCTCCTTGTAAGCCCCCACATTCCGAGATATTCTTAAGCACTTAACTGTAACCAACAAAAGGGGTGCATAAAGTGGACTCTTGTTCACAAAAAGATTATGCCCTTGCATGGAATAACAATTGATCGGTAGCATAATTTGCATTAACTCATCATCTAGCCAAAAGAGTTTTTTAAATGATCCAAACAGTATAAATTTAGCTTTTGTTTCGTTTCTATCAAAATTATACACTTTCTGCATTTGAGGAGAAATGCCAAGAAGTATAACCTTTAAAAATGTAAAGTAACTAAAATATACAACTATATACTGGGGGGATTTGGGGAGAAAAAGCAGAAAGAAAAAAAAAAAGAAAAAAGAAGATTGGCAACAGTTGCTAGCTCAGGTGCCAATCTTTAGGAAAAAAAAAAAAAGGAAAGCAACACAAAATAAAAACACTAACATGCTGTTTTGGAAGGTGGTAAGTTTGCGGTCTAAGACAATGGAAATATTTAGAAACTAGTCATTTATGACTAGCATGCTGTTTTTCTTTTAAGTATTTCCGTAAATAGGCACTAATAGTCTGACATCTCTCTATCTTTCTTTTCTCCTCCCTCCCGGACTTTGGAAGTTATACTGAACTTAAGAATTACTTGTCTGTTCATAGAATGATAGAGCAGAAAAGGAAGATGGCAGTTAATAGTTGCTAGGTGTCCCTTTCAAAATGGTTACCTAGCAACAGTTGGAGCCTGTAGCTACAAGGAGTGGTACCAGTACAGTTAAAGGTTGCTTGAGCTACATAGTTGCTCCACTGAAAATCTCATCAGTATGGTTTTTAAAATAAGAATCACATTTTGGGGTCATGTTGGCTGATGCACAACTGACCATCTGTTTTATTTGTTTTGTCTCAACCTCTGACAAGAGGAATGTGCTTGCTGTGTTTACAGAAAACCACTTAGGTTGTGGAAAAAAAATCTGACAGAATTTGTTGCTAAAACAAAAATCTCTCTCAAAGTTCCTAGATGCCAGGGATAGCAAATAGGCAAATCTATAAACAGATTTTTTTTTTTAACCCAAAGTCCACTTTTATGTAAGAAAATTAATGGTTTACTTAAACCCACAAAATAAGTTTGAAGAGTTTAAACGAGTATTAAATAAAATAATTTTCACTCAAGTTAAATATCGTTCTAAGATCACTCAAACTGAGCCAGCCTCCCCTGTTTCATCGGCATACATTCAGTTCCAGGAAACTAAGACAAAATCTATTAAAGGAGAAACGCAGGATGTATTACAGTGGTTGTGGTATTTGATATATATATCCTGTCATTAGGCTGCACCTTTGTTTCCTTTGTGTTAAGCCTCTCTCTTTGTTTACACCAACTTTCTATCTGTCTTTCAAAATCATGAAAATATTTCATCTGTATGATTTCTCCATAAAGTCTTTGGAGCTCTAACATCTCAAAAGGAAAATTCTCAATAAGGTTTAAATGCACATCACCTATGCTGTGTGGGTTAGAAAGGAGATTCTATTAAAAATCAAATTTTTAGGCACTCAAGTAGATATTTGTACACCAATGTTCATGACAGCATTATTCACAATAACCAAAAGGTAGGAAAACCCAAGATGAGCAGATAAACAAAATGTGGCATATATAAAAAATAGAATAGTATTCAGCCCAAAACAGGAATGAAATTCTGACACATGCTCCAACATGGACAAACCTTGAAGATACTATGCTAAATGAAATAAGCCAGACACAAAAGGCCAAAGAGTGTAGGTTTCTCTTATATGAAATACGTAGAGTGGTCTAATTCATAGAGATAGAAGGGAGAAAAGGTCACCAAGGATTGAGGGGGTCAGGAAATGGAGAGTTATTGTTAATGGATACAGAGTTTCAGTTTTAGAGAAGAAAAATTTGTGGAAATGGATAGTGGTGATGGTTGCACAACATGGTAAATGTAGTTAATGCCAGTCAATGGTACACCTAAAATGGGTTAAAATGGTAGATTTCAATTATGTACATTTTACCAGAATAAAAAAAATTAAATGCATTTATTTAGTCCAGACCAAATATTAACAATGCTCTGATTTTCCCTTGTGCTCCAGTGTCCTGATGGGAGATAATTACAGGGAGAGAAAAGTCTGCTGTGGGTATTGTGTAATGTGCACCCAAATACAGAAGAATAAACCACGCCGTTATCCAAAGAGTAAAATCCTGCCTGATTCTTGCTGGGAATTCTGACATTGGTTGAAACAAAACTTAAAAAAAAAAAAAAAACCAGTCAAAGAATGACTCTTTTGAAGAGAGAAGGGGCTGGCAACACATATTCTAACAAATACCCATTGTATTGTTTCTTGTTGGCCTTTTTTCATCTATGGCCAGACATTTCTTAAATTTGTCTATCCTGAAGAATTTAATAAAATATATTTTAAAAATGAGCTAGACTTGAAATTATATTCTACTATTGCTTCCCCTAAGCAGAACTTTCCTAACCATATGTGGCTTATATAATTGATCCTATTCAGCAGCATAATTACAGTATTAGAATTGCATGGTTTTTTTTCATCTGGGCCCTAGGCTGAGACAGTGCAGTAACTGTTTTATATAGATTCTGCCATTTTAATTACAGTGCCTTGAGTTAGTCAGGATGGACCTCAAAGGAAGACCAAATGAGAATTGGGGGCCGTTCTGAGTCACAAAATTACAATGTGTAATTTTAATAAAGAAGACATTTCATTTTAAAGCATGATTTTAATCTTTTCATATACATTTTCTTGAATATTTTTCCCCATTGCAAAAGTAAAGTGTATCTATTATAGAAAAAATGAGAAATACCTAATATACCCCCATAGTTGAACGGCCACACAGAATTCTATCAAAGAAGCATGGTGAGCCAGCGTGTCTGCCACTAACGGTGCTGCGCTGGTTATGTGTCATTAGCTGCAGCCTGTTTCCTCCAGATTCATTCCCCTGACCTCTGTGCTGCTCTACCCTCTTAGCGGCTGACCCTTGCACATTGTGTCACTCAGGTTTCCTGCCTACATCTCTGGCACCCCAAAGAAGAAGCTACTTCCCAGAAGAAATACAGTGTCTTATTTGGGGTTCCTCTGACAGCAGATCTTGCAACAAGTACTTGAATGCAAGTAGTCTATTTGGGAAGTGATCTCAAGAAGCAGCGGTAGGGAAATGAGGAAGTAAGACAGGGAGGAGAAGAAAACAAACAAAAGGGCACATTGTCGAGCCAGCCCTGATGGCCTAGCAGTTAAAGTTTGGCATGCTCCACTTCAGTGGCCCAGGTTCAGTTCCCAGGCATGGACCTACACCGCCTATCTGTCAGTAGCCATGCTGTGGCAGTGGCTCACATAGAAGAGCCAGAAAAATTTACAACTATGCACAGCTATGTACTGGGGCTTTGGAGAGGAAAAAGGAAGAAAAAGGAGGAAGACTGGCAACAGATGTTAGCTTAGGGTGAACCTTCCCCTGCAAAAAAAAAAGAGAAAAAGGGCATGTTGTCAAGCAAGTCACCCTTATGGGCAACGGGTTTAATCTCTCAGGAGAAATCTTGGAAACAGAGAAGAATATGCAGCTGAGAGCACCCTTCGGGTGGGGAGTAGGGGTATTTATCACTGATTCCTATCCATCATGGACTGAGGCCTGGCCCACGGGTGAGTGTGCATGAACATGTAAGGATGGGGGCCTTCAGGAAGGATGCTGTGTATTGGGTCATGAAGACACAAGAAGAGCAGGGAAAGGTCAAAAGAGTCAAAGAGCTGCACAATGATGCTGAAGTAAGCTCTGGACTGTGCCCATTGATTTCCCCAAAGATGTTGCTGGAAGGACAGTCTTGGTGGAGTGGCAGGGCTGAAGCCAGAAGGCTTCAGAGAAAGAAGTGGACGCAATATGAGTGGACAATTCTTCCAAGAAGCTTGATGCTGAAAGGGAGGAGAGCAAGAGGGCTGCCACAGCACTTCTAGAACTGGGGACATAGTAGGCAGACCAGACATAAAAACCACCTGTTTTGGCTGCCTCGGATCTGCAAAAAGCAGAGACCCTATGTCATAGATGATCTCAAGATTTCGATGTGTAATAAGGGAGCTGAAGAATATAGTTTCAATGATTTGGATAAATAATCGTAGAAGAATTCAGTGTTTAAAGGAGTTTCGCCAAGAAACACACATACACATATACCCAGAGAGAAAAACACTTTGTTTTTAATGGAGAAACTGCTTCCAACTTGTTATGATCTTTCTGATCTTGATCTGTGTCCTATGGTTTTTAAATCATTGTGGTCAAAGTGTTGAATATTTCATGAGTGACCCAGACACACCACTTCAGCTCCACCAGACTGTTTTCTTATCAGCAAATGGAGAGAGCTACGTCTATTTGTTGCGAAGAACAAGTGAGATAATGTAATATAGAAACAATTTGTAAATCCTAAAGTATGTAATTATGAGGCATAATACGTGTGATTGCTTCTTGTATGCTGTGTATCGCTGTTAATGGTTACATATTATTCTAACTGCATTGCTGTCATAGTTTATTTAACCACTGTCGAATTGTTGCTCATTCTTGCCTTTTGCTATCATAAATAAAGTTGATTATAAACATCTCTGCATGATTAGCATTTTTTCCCATCTGAAGTATTTCCTTAGGGTGAATTCCTGGAAGTCCAGTAACTGGGTCCAAAGAGTAGCTGGGACACTCTTCCTTAGATGATATGCATCTTCTTAGTACCAAAAAACCCCACAAAAACAAAAAAGGACCTAATTGTGATGCACCACGATTCAGGTGAATTAACAAACTAAATCTAATCCTGGCAGTGGGAGCGAGTCAGCACATATCAAACCATATCATCATAATTTTAAAAGGCAAATAGTTGAATTTTCTCTGATCCTGGACCCTGTCCCCCTATGGCTAAAGAAATCCTCTTTTTGGAATGTGGCAGGAGAGAGTAGGAAATGCAGATCCTGAGCTGGAAGGCTTCTTTTCCAGTGTTAGCAGCTTCTATTTACAAGAGACCTGGTTTTTGGAGGATGGATTTCTTCCCATCTGAGGCTTCAGGCACTTTTTTTTTTCAATTGGTTTAGATTCAGAGCAAAATAATTTCGGTAAAGGATGGTTTACAACCCAGATTTTAGGTTGAAGTCAGGGAAATGAATTTTGCACTTCATGTAGATAAAATATAAAAATATATTCCTCATGATTGATTCCAGTTTGTGAGAAATATTATCTTAATATTTATAAAGTATATGCAGATCCCTAGACTCTTGAACTGCAGATGGCTCTTAACATCTATTATCAGATGCCATTTTTGGAGGCTTAAATGCTCGGTTTGGCAACAGTTTTCTGCCTGCACGATGCCTTTTTGGATTGAAATTTTGCTCTCTTCTGGGCTATTTCTTTAGGTTGGCTGCAGGAATCAGAGAAGAAATCTCTGACCCAGCTAACATGGTTCAGGAGAAGCTTTCCCTGTAAGGTGTTTCAAGGGACTTTTACTCATATTAATCAAGGGGCCAGTGTGATTGATTATTAAATAATTAGCTCTGCTTTGCTCATTTTGTTTCTCCAGATACTTCTCTTTTAAATGGCCTGAGAGGAAGTAAATGAGAGGTACAATGGAAAACGCTGGCTGGGGGGCTGGCCCGGTGGCAGCAGTTAAGTGTGAACATTCCGCTTCAGTGGCCCAGGGTTCGCTGGTTGGGATCCTGGGTGCGGACATGGCACTGCTTGGCAAGCCGTGCTGTGGTAGGCGTCCCACTTGTAAAGTAGAGGAAGATGGGCACAGATGTTGGCTCAGAGCCAGTCTTCTTCAAAAAAAGAAGAAAAGAAAAGAAAATGCTGGCTGGGAGTTAGATTTGATTTATAGTTTCAGCTTTGCCACTAACTAGCTGTCCAACCAGACCCAAGCTACTTAACCTGTTTGAGCTTCTGTTCAACTATGACGTTGACTCTAACAAACACTCTCTGATTCTCTATGGAGCAAAGGCCTTTTTTTCCCCGTGACATAGTAATCTTCTGAGAGCCAATTCACTTAGAAAAGTCTTTTCCAAATGTGTCATTGCTGTTGCATTGCATTTGTGTGTGTTCCTGTGGTGGTGGAGGGGTGGTGGGAGGAGAGATTCCTACTTCTCTACATTTCAGCAGTAGAAAAACAGGTTGAAAAAAACCATTGTGCTCCCCTGCGTTTGGGCCAACAGGAATCAGGCCACTTTGACCTCATGGTCCCACGGAGGCTGCCAGGAAGCTGCAATTCCGTCCAATGCTGCTGAGACAGCAGGTTTGGCACAGCTGAGAGGAAGCAGTGCAGAGAGTTAATGCCCATAAAGGGCTGAGCACGGTGCCCAGCCAGGGTGAGCCCTGTACAGCGTGCTGAATTTCCACCTGCCTTGTCGTCATTGTTAACACTTCCAGAAATAGCCAACAGAGTTACCTAGGGAAGGGAAAAAAACCTTTAACTTACTCAAATTTCACTTGGGGTGCATTAATACTTTATAAAAATAAACTGTAATCCTTCTACTACTTGTTAAGGCGTTACTATTCCTTTCAGATTCAAATTCTGGCAGTGGTTTATTTATATCATCCTTTGTCATTTCTCTGATGTCACTGTTCAAGCTGAGATCCCAGACTGGAGGATCAGCTCCCACAAAGCACTATTATGAGGGCTAGGCGAAAGCAAGTCCCACTGTTTCCTGAGTCAGCTTCCCTCCCAGCAGCCTCCCAATTTGGGCCTGGGGTGCTGCCCAGCCACCTAAGCCGCTGCCCGCTGACGCAGTCTGCACACCTCTGCTGGTACCTCCAGCAGTCATGCTTCCCTTCATCCCTGAAAGCTCTCTGGCCCTGCCTGCTGGTCCAGCTGCTTCCTCACACCCCTCAGCTCCCTGGAAAATGATTTGCTGTGGGTTTTCAATTGCCCTTCCCTGGCTCTCTGCCTAGAAGGTTCTTGCCCCTGCTTGTTGGCCTGGTAAACTCGGACACCTGCCATCCTTCAGGCTCAGCTAAAATGTCTCTTCTAGGCATTATATTGCTTCCTCCTCGCAGCTGCTTCAGCACCAATATGCCACACACTGGGAGTTTCTTGGGGCCATTCATTGTATTTTGATTTTTGGATTTCGAGCTCAGAATCTGGCAAATAGGCGCTTAATAATTGCTGAATAAACATTCACACCTGCATTCTAATCATCTCATCTTCAATTCCTGTTTAGAATAAGGTGGGGGGAGGGATTTAAGTGGATAAAAATTGGAAACTGACATGGAGGGATTTATATTAAACAATGTCT